GACTGCGACCACACAAAAGGCCACACCATCTTGGTCTTCATACCTTCGATTAAAATATGGAAGTAATATTACAAAACAATGCACTGATTACAGTCGGACAAGGAAGACAATTGTAAGTCAATTGTGCCATTTAGCCTTTTTGAATTGTTGCGAACATTATGGTATCGCTCCCCTATTCTGTAATCTTATGAGAAAGTGTAATTCGGAAACAGTGAATTAAATTCTTTATCACGCTTCCATGCAGAAATTAGAAGAAAGTTACGAGACTGAGAGGCGTAAGCTATTTAAGTTCATAGATCTCAAGCCTAGATTAAGAAAGGATTTAGGTAGGGTTCTCGCTTTGGATGATTTTCAAAAACTCGAACGCCTGACCAACCGGAAGTCACAGAGGGTCCGGGATATGATAAATAAGCGGCACGACAAGAAATTACACTTATTAGATAATTTTCTAAGACGGTTTGCCGGTTATTTATTCACTTTCTTTTTTTTCAGTGATTCTTTTGCAATAACTTGCATAGCTCAGATGTATTACAGTTTCCTACTATTTTATTTGGTAAATATTAATTAAGCAAGCCAAAGAATTATTCAATTAACTTTAATTTTCTTGAAAACTTACATCAAGTATTATATTTTCTGGCACCTATTATGTGGTCATAGTTGTTTGGATAGTTGGCAAATAAAATAATTAATGTTACAAAAGCCCTATAAACCCTAAGCCGCATAAGATTATGAAAAACGGATAATTCTTATCTCCAAGATGATATGAATGGGTCTTATGATTCCATTGAATCTCACTTAGTCTCGCTTCCCAAAAAGGTATTTTCATTCAGGTATTATTAGTATCCATAAGTGAGAATTGAAACCAGGTAGTGCTGCGTATAATCTTGACACGTCGCCAACATACCACAGTGCTAAGTGCGCCTCTGAGCCACAGGGCAGATGGGAATTGCATCAAAGGCCAGGCCGCTCCCACATCACATTTTGTGTGACAGCGTTGATTAACAAAACTTATATTTGCTATTACAATCAACTACATTACTTATATTGCGATTAAGTATGTTTCAAAATTGTCAGCAAATCTTGACCAAAAGCTGTAAACACCTTATGTTACATAAAGTGTAGAAGGACTTATAATTGACTTCTTGACAAAGACATGATTCGGCCTCACGTTTCCATTGAACTTCCCTTAGCCTTGCTTCCCAAAATGTATTCTTATCCAGGGTGGACTTAAGTGTCAACCTTACCTGGGTCTCATCATCAATTCAGTCTAAACATAAGGCCTATTTACATTATTGTAGGAAAATTTTATTATCACTTCTTCATCACCTTACTCGACCTAGGATCAATACAGTTTTTAATCTAGAGATTGTGGTAGTTTTAAATCCTAATAAACTCGAATATAAGTAATAAGTTGAGTGTTATAGCAAATATAAATGAGATGTATACACATTATTTCATTTAAGGTGTAATGGGACTAGTAGCTCAATTTTTCCACAATGATATCAGAAAATCTCACTTTAATTAAATTTCACATAGACTTGCTTCTCCAAAAGGCGTTCTCATCCGGGGTGGACCGCAGTTTCGACCTCGGCTAGGTCTCATCAGCACCCCCAGTTTGCCTTTTATTTTCGACACATTAACCACTATGCCACATTGCCACTAGTGTCTTTGGGTAGCAGAGCAGATGTGAATTATACGGAAGGCCAGGCATTTTTTCATATCACATTCTGTGGTATGTCTACCAGTTCCCTTATCAACTTAAGCGAAATAGGGCGAATACATCTATCGGTACTCTCGAAAGCCTGTCAAGAAAACGAAAAATAAGTATTTCAGTCGATTGCTATAGCAAATACAACCTTTCTTCCTCCACAATCACACAACAGAATGTGATATGGAACAGTGCCTGGGCTTCCT